ACGCAGTGACGTGGGGGGAAGGGGATGTCCTACTCCACTGGGAGGTGAAGGGCGGGACTTCCGGATCGCCGTGGCGGTGATGGGAGGTGCACCAGCTTGGCCTCGGAGCGGCCCGGCCCGAAGCACGTGGGCCCGGCGGCAACCACCACCTCCAGGCCTCCGGATTTTTCTAGGCGAGTTACCCCATCATGTCGGAATGGCATGACCTGAGCCGCTCCTGGGAAGGGGCAAAGGCTTGATTCAGTTACAGACGTAACTGCTGTGTCTCTAAGAAGTAGTAGGGGTTGGGTTAGGGTGCGAAGATGGCATCGTGCAAGGTGGGTTGGTGGTAGGAAGAGCCGGCTACCAAGATTTGTCTGGTGCCTCAGTCAGTATACTCATATTTTAAACCAACAGATCCAGAGACAATGGCCCCGATGGAATGGAGCCTGAAGGCGTCATCGAGGTGAGAACAGAGTCCTATCACCATTATCCTTCGTTTCGGGGAGCGGCAGTGTCCCCTGGTTTCTGGACCATACTCTGGATTCATCTTTAATGCATAGCCTAACTCTGAGTAGTTAAGCTCTTCTCACTGGGAGTCTTAACTTTTATATATAATTTGTTTAAGGTATTTGTGTCCCTGAGAATTTGTGTGAAATGTCATTCAAATTGGTCCTGTTATCCCTTCTACAAGCACCAGCCTCACAGTTTTCAAGTGGACTGGTCCCTAGAGTGATTTCCTAGGCAATGTAGAATCATCTGGCTTCCCTGGAGGGGGTGGGAGGAGGTTGTTGACTCTGAAGCTTTCAGGGCACAAGGTCCTATTTGCTCCAGGGTAGAGCCCTGTTTATACTACTTTAATCCCTTTCCATCCTACAGAGTAACTGGAATGAGATCGTTGACAGCTTTGATGACATGAACCTCTCAGAGTCCCTCCTCCGTGGCATCTACGCCTATGGTTTTGAGAAGCCCTCTGCCATCCAGCAGCGAGCCATTCTTCCTTGTATCAAGGGTAAGACCTGCTCCAAAGCATGTTCTGAACTGTCCCTGGGTAGAGTTGCACGTGTTTGGTGGTGCTTGTCTCATTAGCCAGGGACAGATAACTCCTTTATTTACACTTTAAGAGGGGTAGTATTTTAGCCAGCTCATAGCTTTCTCTTTGCAGCTATATTTCTAGCCTATTTCAAATGCAGTCCTAAATGAGTTAATAACCAGTCTGTTCCCATTAAAGTACTGGTTATGGTAGAATAAAGTTCTCTTCGGTGCTTATTGATAGTGTTTTGCAAGGCCTTGAATGTCTCATGATCCCAGAGTGTATGCTCTCTACCATAGCGAGTCTTTCTCCTGATTTTAGGTTATGATGTGATCGCTCAAGCCCAATCTGGGACAGGAAAAACAGCCACTTTTGCCATATCGATTCTGCAACAGATTGAATTGGATCTAAAGGCCACTCAGGCCTTGGTCCTGGCACCTACTAGAGAATTGGCACAGCAGGTGAGCGTGTCGTTTATTTCTCCTCCCCTGAAAGACTGATTTAGAAATAATTAGCACGATCCAAAAACCCGAGTATGCTCCCCAACCACCACCACCTTGGGAGAAGTGAGGTATCTACCCAAACCCAATAAACATCATTTCCTCCTCCCATTTCCTGAGTCAAATGGGAAGGCTCCTGGGTGGAGCCTAGCTGGCTGAGCAAGTCTGGCAGCTGTTTTATGGACAAACCCCCTGGCAATGGGCAAGGAGACACCTGATTGGTGGTGTTGCTCTTATATCAGTCAGGGGCAGAGCAGACCTACAGTCCTTAGTTCATCCTAGCTTGATGCCTGTGTCGGTGGCCAGAGCTGTTTCATGCCTGAGGCACATAAAAAAAAAAAAAAGAAAACAATAAATAAAAAAGTTTAATATATATTGAATTATTTCAGAGGGCAGTTACTGTGAATCATGTATTCTCAGGACCCAGAATGTTCAAATCCTGAGTCTCTGCCATTTAACTGTCAGTGTGATCTTAGATGCATTTAACCTGCCTGTTTCTTGCCTGAAAAGTGAGTTTTAATAATAGTGCATATAAGTTGGGAAAAAGTAAAACATGAGAAGCACTTAAAATGGAGCCTGGCACAGTTGTAGCTAATAATAATAATATATGAGCACCTGTCTTTTTCTGGGTTCAGATACAGAAGGTAGTCATGGCTTTAGGAGATTACATGGGTGCCTCCTGCCATGCCTGCATTGGTGGTACCAACGTGCGTGCAGAGGTGCAGAAGCTGCAGATGGAAGCGCCCCATATCATCGTGGGCACCCCAGGACGTGTGTTTGACATGCTTAATCGCAGATACCTGTGTGAGTATCTTAATTATCTGGTCCTCTAGGTCACTTGCCTCTTCTGCATGCTTTCCCAGTCTTTCCACTGGCCACAGTCTTGTTGCCAGTGAAGCTCGTTTTCCCCTGAAAGAGTCGCTCTATGATGAACCCCATGCGTGTCATCTGAGCCTGGCTTCCCTGTCTCAGCCCAGGTAGTGTTCTACTTCCAGGGCTATTGTCTGGCCTGGCAAGGGGGGTGCCTGGCAAAGGATCAGAATTTGAATTCTGAGAGCAGACCACCTATCCATTTCTGGTTCTTCATTGGGAGAGTTAAGCATGGGTCACGTTTCCCTCATTACCACTTGTCTTTCTCCCCCCTCCCCCCGTTCTGTAGCTCCCAAATACATCAAGATGTTTGTACTGGATGAAGCTGATGAAATGTTAAGCCGTGGGTTCAAGGACCAGATCTATGACATATTCCAAAAGCTCAACAGCAACACCCAGGTGAGAGACAATTTAGTCTTGCCTTTATGGCTGATCCTTCATGGATCGGCACCTTGAGACTAGAATTCTCTGGCACCTCATTCTTGT